AAATTATTCTTGGAGCTAGGTTTAATTGAGCTGCATTTTAAAGAGGTGCAATTTCACAATTTGTGTATATTTTCTAAGTTCACTATTTTGTCATGTGTTGAGAAAAACACAGATTTTAAAATTACATGGTCTAATATTTACATTTAGCATAACTGCAACATTCTTTTTTCGTTTTTTTCTTTTTAAAGACTCGAAAGGACTTGAAATTCAAAGTTTCAGACTTGTGACTTGACTCGGACTTTTACACCAGTGACTTGAGACTCGACTCTGACTTGCCTGACATTACTTGAGACTTGACTTGAGACTTGAGGATAAAGACTTGAGACTTACTTGAGACTTGACTTGAGACTTGAGGATAAAGACTTGAGACTTACTTGAGACTTGCAAAACAATGACTTGGTCCCACCTCTGGTGCCCACTATAACTTTGTGGAGAGCGAACAGCTGTAATGACACATCCTTCCTGTGTGTTTTACCACCCAGCAGATTCATTTTTGACCCTCTCCACCTTTTTATTTTCCTCCCCTCGATCCTAGGTCACTCGCCCCCTGAGCTGCTCCCACAGCAGCGCTGGTGACATGCAGCATTCTGATATCTGTCACCTTGTGTTTGCTCCTGCTGACACCTTTTACAAGGTCACACAGCATGCTATGTGTATTATTCACACATTATATCCAAGGGGCTCATTCTGGTTTATTTTTGAGTGTTTTTAATTGCGGAGGTGAGTGACTCAGTAGGTACAATCACTCACGCAGTGAGGAGAGGTGTGGAGTACTTTGTTCTGTGGCTCAGTGCCAGATTATCAGTGATGGGACTCGACAGATGAAGGGAGAGGATTTCGTGGGTGCCGTTTGATCAAACACACAAACAGAAAAAACACTTGGATTAAATAATATGAAGCCTATATTTACATGACTATTTTCCCGTCCTCATTGGAAAATAGTTAACTCACCTTTGCTCTGCTATGTTTTTGCTACCGAACAGCGTGTTAGCGTCCCTAGATGTTGCAAGGTGTAAGTGCACGGTCTAATAAAATATCATGTTTCTGTAGTAATAAAGCGTTACATTTGGCATACACTACATGATACCGGTTTGCTACCTGCAAAAAGTTGAATTGATTAAATGAAGCATTTAATGAGGCAGATCTCCCGGGGATTTGTGCGTACGTGTGTAAATAACAGAAAGTAAAGATTATTCGTAGTTAACAGTCTTCAGTGTGACTCTGTGAATGATCGTCCTTAAAGACCTTTATGAGCATCTTTGGCAGCTTCTAACCCACATCCTCCTGCCCTCATCTTTTTTTTTTTTATCTTTCAGTAATGCAGAGATGGTTTCACTTCAGTGACAAATTAGTCCTGCAGATACTTTGTTTTTTATTTGTTTTTCTCTTATACAGAGAAAGAGAGAGTGTGTGCACGTGTTCATCGACTGATATATGCATGCGTGAATAGTCAGTAGTTGTATTTTTCCTGTTTCCTCCAGAAACCGTTGCAGCCAGATATGGGCAGAAATTCACTGGCTAACTTCCAGATTGAGAAGAAGATTGGACGCGGCCAGTTCAGCGAGGTGTACCAAGCGAGGTATCTGCTGGACAACACGTTCGTGGCCCTGAAGATAATTCAGGTGAGGAGCGTAAAAGCAGCGACACATTTAGCCCAAGCTACATCTGTCACAAGGCCAATGCTAATATATTCACACCAGCGGGTGTTTCGGTCCGTGAAGTTCACCTCAGCCATACACGGAGCATTTACAGTAGTAGAAGCTCACATATACTGTAGATACTGCTGCTGTTTCTGGACAAACACAGCTTGGTCACACTCGCTGAGTTCGACTTGTCACTATGTAGAGAAATTAAAGAGAATGTAATTGTGATTGTGTTAGTGCCGCCAGAGCGGTCAGCATATTCAACAAAGTCACATTTGAGAGTTATTGGCCCGTGAAGTGCAATTTGACTCACAGTGTGACTCTGCACTTGTGTGTATCTGCACTGACAGTATCTGTTTTATTCACTGCCTTCTACACTCGCACACACATTGATAAGAGGACACGTTGTGTACACACACACACACCTCAGATATACAGGCTTGTTACTCAGATATGAAACACTTGTAGACACTCCAGCGCCACCCTCTAGATAACAGTATTTAGTGTTTTTTTCCACCCTTAGTTTTCTACATCTCTCCATCTTACATTTTTTGAATATGTCATAACACCTCCTCTCTGTCCTCTCTCTCTCTCCCCTTTTGATCTCTTGATAGATATTCGACTTGATGGATGCCAAAGCTTGGCAAGATTGCATCAAAGAGATAGATCTCCTTAAGGTAAAGAACCAGAGAAGAGGGAGACGGCGCCGTGCGCTGCGCTCTGTTCTCTCAAGGTGCCTCAGCTGAGACCTACCACATGAAAACAATTGATCTGCACCAGACGGCGTGGATCTGCGTGCTGTGTGTGCGTGCGTTTCCTCGGATTGATACAAATGCTGAGGGGTGTTGGAGCATTTGTGCACACAAGTGAGAATGTGAATAAGTGTGTGTGTGTGTGTGTGTATTGCTTTCTCCTTGAGCGTGTGTGTGTGTGTGTGCAGAGGTACAGCAGTGTTAAATCCCCCCAGGCACACATCGGCTCCTTTTTAATGCCAAAACTATTGTGTTTTTTTGTGTTGTTGTTTTTTTTAACAATCTTTTTGTAATGTTTAAAACCAGCCAACAGTGCATCAGCATGGAGATGTAGCAGCGTCTCTCATGTGTCTCCTCACTTTGCTTAATTTAGCTTCTAGATGTGTGTCAGAATCCTGCCTGTGTTATCTGACTGTGTGTGTGTGTGTGCGTGCGTGCGTGCGTGTGTGTGCGTGTGTACAGTTCTGGCAACCGTATCTGTAGCTTTCCTTCACGGACGCGTGTGCACTGCAGGCAGTTTGGGCTCATATGTACGCTCAGATGTACACATTAGACAGAAACACAAAACACAACCAATTAGTTTGTGCCACTCAGACTTCATTGGAGCTCCCGGGCCTTTTGGGCCAATCAAAGACAACGATACTCTGATGCAGACGAGACCAGGCTGTAATCTGAGTAGCAGACTGTTGAGTCGATGGCAGAACACAGTAGCGTTTTCCTGATTGTAGTTCTGACCTCCTAAAAGGGGGCTGAGGCTTGGGTCCACATGTGTTGCATGTTATGTTTTGTTAATAAAACAAGCTACAGGTCTAAAATCAGTTTTATCTTGTTCTCTGTACGAGCAATAATATATTCTTTAAACATTAATATGTACTTTAAATGTGTTCATTATGTGCGTTTAATCCATCCTTCTTCTAACAAGCTAAAGTGGATTATTTTTACATTTGGTGACGTGGAAAACACGTTAGTGGAATGCAAACTATTCCTTTCTGCCGGAGAGGCCGAGTAAACGCCGATTCACATCTAAACGAACCGTTTCCATTCCTACCAGCTGCTTTCCTGTTGGCATGTAATTTCATTCATAATTACGCTGTTACTTAATTTGCTAGCATGCTTAATTTTGTGCCATCACGTTACATTAGTCAGTGTCTCGTTCTTCTTTGGAGCACATCACCAGCTCAACAAATATCTCACATCGAGTCGTATATGATTAAGTAATTACACACACCGGTGGGTCTCAGCCAGCATGTGTAATTACATAATCATGCGAGACTCTATGCGATATTTCCCAACGAATGGTCCCATCCATCATTTACATAAACATCTGCATGCAAACATATCTGTATCCTTCGCCTGGGGTTGAAGTTGTGGGAGAGGAGCGGGGCGAGGAGGGGAGGGAGAACTTGTCATCGCTCCTCGGCTGTGCTACAGCGTGGAGCCATGCAGAACTGCCACTCCAAGCCAAAAATACATCTGGCGAGAGAGGACAAGGGAGGGAGAAGGAAAGATGGAGACATGAGGAAGGGAGCGGGAGAACAAATGAGAGAGGGGAATATGGAAGGATGCAGAGATGGAGTGGAGAGTATAGCGTACTGTACTGTACTGTGCTCCTCTCAGCATCATCCAGAGCATGAACATTTCTTTAATCACAGCACAGAAAGCAGAGCGGAGGACGCGTGTCACACCACTCCGTTTGCTCGCATCACCGCCGCGACTCTTCGCACAGCACCGCCGCTTCCCTTTCCCTCCCCCTCTGCTCCAACTTGGCTCACCGTACCGCTCTCCTGTTCTTTCTTCCTTCCTCACTTTTGTTCTCGTTCCCTAGCTCTTCACCTTGCCCTGTCTCCATCATCCGCCTTGCTTGTCTGTGTCACTGTGTCATTTGCTTGTTCCTCTTCACTGCTCCTCCCCCCTCCCCCCTTTCCCTCTTCTTGCTCTGGATGGATTGAAACTTTTTGTTTACTACAAGGAATGCTGTTCCTGCCTTATTGACCAACCAACAGGAAGGAATCTCAGCTGCAGCAGAGGCTGGGATGCTTGTTTTTCTGACTGCCAGCCGTGTCAGCCTGTCAGGCGTGTGTGTGTGTGTCTGTCTCACACATGAGTTGTTGTCATCAGAGACAGGGGGCTGTTGTGACATGTCAGCCAGCTTTGTCACACTTGGGGACTAAAGCTTCTCATTAGGTCCACATGTATGAATCCCATGTACGGTTTAAACAGTCTTGTTTTAATTGGTGGTCAAAGTTCATGACACAAACCTGTGTTTGTTATGGTCAGGCTCATTTTATATAAATGGTGTAATAAGTTTGCAAGACGCCTGAGGAATGTGACCATGTCAGTTCTCAATGTGACAAGTGTCACCAGCAAGTCTTATTTTTGCTTTTTATGCTCCCTGAATGACACGTCTGTCTTTTTCTTTTCCCCCTGTCAGCAATTGAACCATCCCAATGTGATAAAATACCACGCGTCTTTTATTGAGGACAATGAGCTGACCATAGTACTGGAGCTAGCAGATGCTGGAGACCTCTCTCGTATGATCAAGGTAAGAAAGTCTGTAGAGCAGCTGCACGTCTAAGACAGCAGGAAGAACAGCTGATTTGCGAAATATTTTGAACATTCAGCCCAGGAGCTGTTAAGGACACAGGCAGTGTGGTTCTTCAGATGCAGCAAAAATCCTGTAGTTTTATTTTCTCACGAGGGAGTGATGGTGCCAGTGCTGATTGTTTGTAGTTTTTTGGTTTTAAACGACTTTACTCGAAGACCCAAGTCACAAATACAGCATCGACTCTTCATAGTGGTTTTTATAATTAGGAGCAGTTTCACCTTAAAGGTACAGTAGTAGCATATTGTACTTTTAAATATACACTGATTAGTGTTTAGTTATAGCTTCCAATAACTATTTGTGTTCTTATAAACTTAAAAATACTGTATTTTTCAGCCCATAAGACGCACCAGATTATAAGGCACATTAAGCGAAACAAGCATTAGAATTCATCCTCCAGCTTCACTGTGTTTATGTTATGCTAACATAGCTGCGTCACTAGTCGTACCACATCATTATATACCAGCTAGCCCAACTTCAGTAACCCTACAAACGTCACTGCTGACCTGAAAGGGATGGAGTTTAGGACCGAGATCACTCCGTGAGGCTCCTGACTACGGTAGCCGTAATGCTCCAACAACCCATCAAGCGATGCGGCTTCGTAGCTTACCAAAGTCGTACTAAAACATTTTTGACAGATTTTCGAGCGCCGTTTACCACATAAAATCGGTTCGAGGTCAGTAAGCACAACCAGAATTCATACATAAGGCGCACTGTCGATTTTTGAGATAATTAAGGATTTTAAGTGCACCTTATAGTGCGGAGAATACAGTACACATGAGTGGCACTGACTGTTGCCCTGTCATCTTAAATACAGTGGCTGAGATGGACAACGGTGCGTTTTAATTTAAAGATCATAAATAAGTGTTTCAAACTATATGTGACCATTTAACAGTTGTACAGGTATTTATTTCATTATGTCTTTTATAATGAAAGAGAGCTTTTTCAGAGTTTTACAGCCTCCTTCAGACTGTAGATGTGTTTAGGTGGACTACAGATACACACAGCAGGAGCAGATCCACTGCAGACATGTTCTCAGTGTTGTGTTCATACTCTGGGTTGGGCTACAGTGCAGAGAATGACTTTAGAGATACACAACTGATCACACAGTATTAAGTATGGTCAGGATGAATAATACCTGGTCACAATAATAGCTGGTCAAACACGGCATTGTTTGGTGTCAGAAGGAATTACCGGCAAAGAGGCAAATAAGTGCTGACTATGCGTTATAATTACAAGATTAGCAAACGTTTTATTTGACTGAAGGAATGAAAGCCAGGAAGTCTGTGGTCTCCTGTCGTTACAGGATTTGGACTTGCTGGATATTGAGTCAATGTGAATCATCCATTCCTTTCTGAAACTAAACACTAGCTAGCACCGGGGCTCCCACCGTCTCCTTTTATCGCAGCACCACATGTTGGTGTTTGCCACAGCTGTGAAATAGACATGGTTAAAAAAACAAGCAATGATTATTGGTCATAAAGGCCAAGTGAGTGCGGTTTGTAACAGGATTCTGCATCAGACGTTTAGGAGAAGTTGTGTTTTAGTTATGTTTTAATTAGTTTTAATGTGATTGTGTGGATGCTGATTAAGCATCCACACTATTGAGTTCCTGTTTCTTTTTATACTTTATTCTTATTCTTCAAGTTGCTTCCGTACGTTTTTTGGACTTTACCTACTTCCACAATTTTTGTGCTATTTTCACCATTCAAATTTCACAATATTCTGTTATTTCTGAAGATGGGTGCTATGACTTTTGGTAGTTATGACTATTATACTTTTTAAAATATTAAGCTTTTTATGCAAATTTTTTTTGCCATTGAAATGAATGGGAAATTTCTACAATTCTGCTAAAATTTGCTTGTTTTTGAAACTTAACTACTTCGTCAAAATGTTCACAAATTATTGGGCTATTCATGTATGATTCAGCTTTTTCATATCTGTTACTGTTTTAATCTTATCCCTCTTTAAGTTCTCAGTTTCATCTTTATGATTTTTCAGAAAATACATGTGTTGTTATGGTTGCTATGCAGTGGGCTTTAAGTGGGCCACTGTACCTTTAGCAATCTCCTCTTCATGTCTGAATAACTTCTTGCTACTTGCTCAATTTTCACTCAACCCCCACAAGTTATACATCAAAACGCATATATTTTTGCTGGCTTTCAGAAAATGTCACTACCATTGTTGTGGGTTTTACAGCATTTTGGCAAATCTCCTCAGAGCAACACAAAGTCTGAAAACTCTCCATAGAAAGTCAATGGAGAGTTTGTTCAAAATCACTGCTGGATTTCTCTAATGAGAGGCATTTTCGAATCGTCATATCTCCTCAACAAAATGAAGTTAAGACATGAGGCTTGTGCCAATATATCTTCAAACACTCCTGACGTTCACAATTCAAGAATTTTTTTATCACCTATTACTATGAATTACGTTTGTTTGAGGGTAGGAAATTCATCCCTCGCTCAGATTTGTTCAGATTTCAAACTCTGGAAATGAGGCAATTTTTTCTCTCGTCATATCTTTTTGATGGATTTCCACAGAGACCTGAAAATTTCCATGATTGGTTACCAAATTAACCAATCAAGCCTGCTGTATCATACGGTGAAAGAATGATATCGATGCTCCATATAGATTTAGAGTTACAAAACGTTGTTTGAGGGCAAGTCAAGGCAATTTCCTCTTCGCCTCTACTCAGTTATGGTACATAACAGACTCTCACAGTCTGTTTCTAAAACCTAAAAGAGAATTGTGGATTTGATCAACTGGTCTCTGAATGCAGACATGGAGGATTGTGTGCCTGGCAGGACTGTCCATCGAGGACGCTGAAGATATCTACCTATTCGGAACCATGGTAACAGGGTTCTTGCTGATCGGAGCTGGCTTGGCCCTGGCTTATCGGAGAATTAAGAAAGCGGAACCAGCTGTTCAAACCCTCACAAGGCTGCCCGCTGGGATTGAAATGATGGGACAAGGCGCGACTTCTCAGAATGGGCTCACTGAGTGCAGCATGGTTGAGATCTTGGTGGAGCTTACGGCTGCCGTGAATACTCAGAATAAGACCTCTGAGCATACATTGGATTACATCAAGGAAAAGTCCACTCAGAACAACACCTCTGAGCGGAAGTTGGATCACATCTTGGAGCAGCTGACTGCGGTTGTGAGGTCTCAGAATCTGCTCTTTGAGCACAAGAATGACAACATCACGGAGCGTAAGTTTGATAACATCATGGAGAAGCTCACGGCTCTCCAACGGGAGATTGAGAGACCAGTGTCGGAGTGTTAAAGAACAGCTTTGAAATTCTCATGAGTTGTTGCAAAAGAAATTACCATCATAATGCAGCCATCCCTTCCGCGCCAGCTGTGGGCTCAAGGCCGGAGCTGAACAAAACTCCCTGATAACGACTGTGTTTAGTCTGTTCCTTCCCATTCCCTACAAGGCCACCTGGGTTGGCTGGAAGACTGTTTACTTAGCCTGGCAGGGCAAAGGACACTGTCTCAGCTGAACTATGGACATGCACATACATACATATACTGATACTGATAAGCACTCACTGACGCATCACCTGCCCTACCCCGGATCCAATGCCACCTCCAACGCTTACCTCCCCTCTGATGTGGACATCGGGTCAGCTGGAGGCGCAGTCGAAGATTGCAGGGGTCCCAGATGAGCTGTACACACTGGAACTCTTTCCCATGTTACTGTCTGTGTTTATTGTGCTATGGTGTGTTGATATCTGTGCATTCCTGTATTATCCTTTTGTGTTACACATTTCGATGTTTTAATTTCCGTAACTACCTAGCATGACCTGTCTCCCCAATGTGATGTTTGTGTATTGTATGTACGGTCGGCAAGGTCTGTCATCTCGGTTGTGGGCAAAAGACCTACAACTGACAAATAAAGGCTATCTCATCTCATCTCTCATCTCATTAGAAGTCATATATCTTTAATAATTCATATTTTAATTACAAATGGTCAACACTTGAAGATTCCCCCATCTCTTCTGAACAAAACGGTCTAAGAATGACCGTTCTAGCCCCTACAACTAGGAAATTATAGCCATTTGTTTGAGGGGAATCATCAATATGTGAAATAGACTGAAAGAAGCTGGTCTGTGTCTCTGTGCTGCATGTGTAAGCAGGTGAACCTGTTTTGGCGGGAAAAAGCAAACAGCCTCTCTGATTGGTGGATTCAAATTGAGCAGCTCCAGGCTGTTGACTGACCTAGAAACATACAGGCTGTGTGTGTGTGTGTGTGTGTGTGTGTGTGTGTGTGTGTGTGTGTGTGTGTGTGTGTGTGTGTGTGGGTGTGTGTGTGTGTGGGTGGGTGGGTGTGAGATATAAATTGTAGGATATAAATTGAATATATTGAGACTGGTTGACAGGCATAGATTCTGTGTGTGTTTCCCTCTGTGCATTTGTGTTTCCATATGTGTCCATATTTGTAATATTGTGTATCTGCTGGCTGTTATTTCTTTCTCTCTGTTTTTTGGCAATTTTTTTACCATGTTCAGCATTTTTTCAGCTGTTCATTTTGCTTTTCCAATTTTTCTATTTTATTTATTACTATTCTGTTAAATCATACTATTTCTGCTATTTTATAAGATTTGTGCTAAATATAGTATTTCTGCTGATTTATAGTATTTCTAACAAATCATAGCATTTCTGCTACTTTTTGGTATTTGTGATAAATACAGAATTTCTGCTTTATTACAGTATTTCTGCTAAATATATTATTTGTGCCTAATTATAGTATTTCTGCCAAATAATATTATTTCTTCCAAATAATAGTATTTCTGCTAAGTTATTATCATCATCATTGTTTATTTATATAGCACTCTAAAACACACAAGGCTGACCAAAGTGCTGAACAATAGAAACATAATATATACCATAAGAATAATAAATACGATAAAATAATAAACATAGAGAAAGCAATAAAA